TGTTATTATTATTATTAATGTTAATGTTAATATTAATGTTAATGTTATTATTATTATTAATGTTATTATTAATGTTGTTATTATTATTATTATTATTAATGTTATTATTATTATTATTAATGTTATTATTATTATTAATGTTGTTATTATTATTATTATTATTAATGTTAATGTTAATATTAATGTTATTATTATTATTAATGTTAATGTTAATATTAATTTTATTATTATTATTAATGTTAATGTTAATATTAATAATATTAATATTATTATTAATGGTAATGTTAATATTAATATTATTATTAATGTTAATGTTAGTATTATTAATGTTAATGTTATTATTAATGTTAATGATAGTATTATTAATGTTAGTGTCATTATTAATGTTAATGTTATTATTAATGTTAATGTTAGTATTATTAATGTTAATGTTATTATTAATGTTAATGTTAGTATTATTAATGTTAATGTTAGTATTATTAATGTTAGTATTATTAATATTATTATTAATGTTAATATTAATATTATTAATATTATTATTAATGTTAATGTTAATATTAATAATAATATTATTATTATTAATGTTAATGTTAATATTAATAATATTAATACTAACATTAACATTAATAATAACATTAATAATATTAATACTAACATTAACATTAATAATAACATTAACATTAATAATACTAACATTAACATTAATAATAACATTAACATTAATAATACTAACATTAACATTAATAATAACATTAACATTAATAATACTAACATTAACATTAATAATAACATTAACATTAATAATACTAACATTAACATTAATAATAACATTAACATTAATAATACTAACATTAACATTAATAATAACATTAACATTAATAATACTAACATTAACAAATGTTAATATTAATATTAATAATAATATTTTTATTTTTATTTTTATTATTTTTATTAATAATAATAAAAATATTATTATTATTATTATTATTATTGATGGAAGAAGGAAAAAAGTAATAGTCAAAAGGACTCATAAGACGTCAATATCATGGTCTTTTTATATGGCAATTATGGCTGACGTCTTAAATTTTTTCATCATCATGTGATGAACAAATAAAGTTATATCTTGATAACTATTTTGTGACTGCCTATTATAGGCAACTGCAGAAAGGCACAATCCTTTATAAGATATTTGATTCATCATACGTATTATAATATATATTTCACAAAAAATAATGAACCGGACTAAGATATGAAATTATTCAAAAACTACAAAGTGAATAAACAAAAGATGGAAGAAATGAGAATTCTTTTGCAAATACGGAACATATACAAAAGAAAAGTGAACTAAAAAATATAGATTAAGCCAAGCTAAAAAGGAGCAAAAAAACAAAAACAAAAATGACCGGAAAATAGTATATGAGAAAAAACTAACACCATGAGAACAGAATCGTCCAAACACAGAATCTAAAAAATCAACAATCATCGTCTACAAACAGAAGAAAAAAAGGAAAAAGGACAAAATTGATACAACATTATTGTCAAAACAGTAAAGTGAGTATAGATAAATAGTTCAGATGGAGTTTCTTCTACTACTATATTGTAATAATATTATAGAAAAACAAATTTTAATTCAAATAGTAAGAGTAAAAATATTAGAAATTATTAATAACAGGAAATCGTGGAGAAATATCACAAATAGAAAGAGGATGTGAGAAAAAAATAGTATTTAATACTACAAAAGAGAAAGTAATATATATATATATATAGACATATAAGTAATTTTTACATTTAATACTGATTTAAGGAGAGTAAGAACATAAAAATGAACCAAAATAGGAACAAAACAGCCAAAGACTCTGGATTAGAAAAGGTAAGTAAACAAATAACTAATAAGAAATATTGAATATGAGAGTACATAAATTATGAGTTTTGCAATGCTTTTATGGACTAATTGTGACTCTGATATTAGTTATTATCACCAATGTATGGCAAATTAGCTGATTTATATCTCTATGACCATTTTATCGCTACCAATTAATGGTAACTGCATAAAGGTGCAAGAAATATCACCATTTTAGGGCTACCAATTAATGGCAACTGCATAAAGGCACAAAAATTAATCAAATCTTACTTTTGCCATACAGATTATGACTTTTTTGTCATATGAAACAAAAGGCTGGAGCAAATTATAAATATGTCCAAAAACTACCAGGTGAATTAA